GCCTGCATAAATTCAATAAATATTTATTGATAGTGTATTAGGTAATAGTATGGGCATGTAAGAAAAAACACTTTAAGTACATGTGCAGGTTTTAATTTTTACATTTGAGAAACATAGGTTGCAATTTGAAAATGGCGTTTAAAGGCAAATGAAAACTCCCCAAATTGGTATGTCCTCCTAGGTACAGAATGACATTTACTTTCCCAATGGGTAGATGGCTTTCACTTGTCCTTTAGACAGGGTTAAGTTCAGCAGTATAATATAGTGGTCATAAACTTGACTGCATGTGCTTCTCAATTTACTTCATAGAATGTTTCCATTCTTAGTGCCTAGTTTACTAACGTGGATAATCACAGTGATAGGGACCCTCGGGGCCCACACTGGGGAGTACGCATAAAGTAAATAGCCATTCTTAGTACAATCATTTTAGAACTCCTCGGCCCCTCTGAGGACAAAAGTAAGCTCAATATAAAACAATCAGAGTTCATATCCATGACATATAAGATGTCCATTGCTGCTTTTTCCCGACCACGTTGTTACATGAAGAAAGGTACGTGTGCCAGTCTATTAGAAACTTTCTTACCAACTTAAAATCTTTTCCAAATTTATCACATTTTTATGTTGGTATAGATCTTTTTAAATCTGATATTATGGTTGGTTTATAAGAAAGACAGATGTTGAATGTTATGTTTGCAATATAATTCTAATCTTATTTGTTAGGAAGCTCGAGGGAGTAAAGCTAAAGTGATCTAGTTAAAAACAAATGCCAAAAATGCCCTTCAAATGAAAAACAAGTATGGTGGCCCAACTTACTGGCAGTTTTCAAATTTACAGAACTGTAAGATTTTCCGCAATCATTTCACTACTATTTTCTCTAATTGATGGCCCTTTAGTTATTTCATGTAAAGTGTCAGCTGCTAGAATAATTTTTATTTGTAAAATTAGAACGTAGAGCAATGGAGATCTTACAACTTTTTTCTACTTATTGCATAAATCATACAAATTCATTGTAACAAATCTGGGAAACAAAACCACATAAAAAAATAAGTCAACCATCATGCTATTACCCAAAGATAGACACTTTCAGTAGTTTTACGACTATCACTTTAGAATTGCATTTTAACTGTGTATTTTGTTTTTCAACTTAAGAATGTCATTGGAAAAAAGTTAAATAAAAATAACTGACTCATACAAAAAAGATGTGTCCTAGTTCCACACTCTGAAAGCAATGAAAATTTCATCTAACATTCAAGACATACTTGTCACAGGCTTATTATAAACCCGTTAAAGTAACATTTAATTAACTACAGCCTTCTTTTTAAACCAGCTGTGGTTGTTTTCTGGATGTCACGACTAAGAAAGTACTCAGGGATGTACTCAAGTGCTGCTCATCAGAATTGCCAGGGGTTAACATTTTATCCATATTCACAGAATGAGTAACGATTTTTTTACAGATTAAAACTTTCTCATTCAACCTGTACAGCCTAGATAGAAAGTTGGATTGGAAAATATTTGGTGAGATGTTAAATTGCATTTGATACTGTGTTATTAGGGCTGACTTAAGTGAAAATAAAATGAAGTTTAACTCAATTTTTACTTAGAATGTGTTCCTTAGGTTTTTGGTGTTTTTTTGTTTTGCTTTGTGTTTTTTTTTTCTTTTTGGTCTTATAAGTAAATTTGACATCTGCGGGGAAGAAAGAGAAGATGGCAACTACTCAGCCCCCCATATAGATCTGCAAACAGGTTTTGAGTTGGACATTATCACTTTGTAACTGTGAGCTGCTGGGTCTCAGTCAAGACTAACAGTTAAAATAGATGTTTCTTTGTCATTTTGTTCTGCTCTTTGAAACAGGACTGTCCAGTAGAACTTTCCGAGCCGGTGAAATATGGCTAGTGTAACAGATGAACTCAGTTTTAATCTTTTATTAATTTTAATACATTTAAAATCTAAATGGCTTCTTTTAGCTAGTGGCTTCCAAATTGGACAGCATGGCTTTAGAACATGGCGGGTGACCTTTATTTTTATTAGGAAACAAGTGACCTATGGAAAGAATCAAGTCAATCATATGGACATAGAAAATAATTTAATTTGACGTAGTTTTGAAAAATAGGTCATATAAATGTTATTTTCTAGGGACACCTGGGTGGCTCAGTCGGTTAAGCCTCTGACTCTTGATTTCCACTCAGGTCATGGGATCAAGCCCCACATCAGGCTCTGTGCTAGGCTGGGCATGAAGCCTGCTTGCAATTCTCTCTCTCTCTCTCTCTCTCTCTCTCTCTCTGTCCCTCCCACCCCTAGCATGCACTCACTCTCTCTTAAACTTTTAAAAAGATGTTATTTCTAATATTTAAATGCAGGAGCATAACACAGATACATTAAATTTTCATCCATTTTATGATATGGCCGGTTGAGTGAGAGAAATGAAAAATGCTGGGGAAGAAAGTTGATGTTCTGGCAAGGAGAGGATAACGTCAGGCCAACTAAAGCCATGTAAAAATATATAAGAAGCAAAGATCAGTTAGAAAATTATTAATATAATAGCAACTATGACAAGAATGCTGATGATGTTGGAAAGGATTTTCTTACCTTCCTCTGGCAGTTTCCAGACTGTAAAAGTTGATTTGCATTTGCTTTGGTCACTCTGTTGTGTTTTTACCTTTGTTGATTCTTTTGTTTTCTCTCCACGCTCTCTCCCTTAGCAGGAGCAGGTATACTACATAATGCTTTATGTATTCTTTCTTACTTTTCTCCCAGGAACATGTATCTGCACTAACAGAATTCCAGGCTCTTACAGAGGTGAAAAATGGTAGGAAATATAGGAACCATATTTTATTCAGATTTCAATTATTTATGGCATGTCTGCAGTGTCAGGACACCGTGCCAAGTGCTTTGCATCATTTTTTTTTTCCATGGCAAGATATACATGATGAGATCGGGCGTGTTCAGGGTGGTATGGCCTTAGACATGGCAACATATACATGACAAAAGTTACCATCTTAGCCATTTTTTAAGCACACAATTCATTGGCATTGAGTACATTCACAGTGTAACCTCACCACTACTTCCAAAACCTTATCAAACCAAATAGAGACTACCCATTGGGGCGCTTGGGTGGCTCAGTCGGTTAAGCATCAGACTTTGGCTCAGGTCATAATCTCACGGTTTCTGAGTTCAAGCCCCACGTCAGGTCCTGCACTGACAGTGAGGAGCCTACTTGGGATTCTGTCTCTTTCCCTCTGTCTCTCCCCTTCAACCCGCCCCCCGCCCCCTTTCTCTCTCAAAATAAACTTAAATTTTTTAAAAAAAGAAAGAAACTAGCCATTAAGCAGTAGCTTTCCAAACCAAGCCTCCACTCTGCTAATCTTTGTTGTACTGTCTGCCTCTATGAATTTGCCTATAAGTATGTCATAATTGGGATCACATAATATTTGCCCTTTTATGTGTCTGGCTTATTTTACTTAGCATGTGGTTTTAAGATCCATCTATGCTGTAGCATGTATGAGAATTTCATTCCTTCTAATAATACTGAGTAGTATTCCATTATATGTATATACCACATTTTGTTTATCCACCCATCTGTTTAAGGACACTTGGATTGTGTATATCTTTTAATCCACCCTCTTCCCTATAAATTATGCTTGCCTACAACCCTTCCCTAGAATTCCCCAGCTAACAATACTTCTCTGTCCTTTTATCCTTACGATCCAAGAGAAAACAGTTGGAATCTGTCATGAAAATTGCACACTCTTATATTAGCCAACAATTCCCTCTATGCCCTGCTATCCATTTTATTTATTTAACTAAAAATTCAACATCTACTGAACTCCAGTCACTGGTAAACAAAGGATCAGCCTTGTTTCTTATTTCACATGGCACCTTTATCCAGTATCCTGTGGGAAGTTGTTTGGCTGTTCATTCTTCATGTTCAGCCCCTCGTCTACATTTCATTCATAATTTTCAGAGATCCTGACTGATAATGGCACAACTATACAACTCAGCCACTGGGAACCCATAGTTAAAATTATATTGGAGCAAAAACAAACAAACAACTTACTACATGGAGAGATTCTCAGCCCCCATCTAAGTATTTGCATTGCTTATACATATATCAGACTGTGCCTAATGTAAAGCTGGAGAGATCAATTCACTGTAACCCAGCTGTTTGCTGTATTTAGAATGTTAGCTAAAATCTGGCTTTTATAACATTAGTAGTTATTGAAGAACAAAGTAAATGAAGTGGGAAGTTGTTACCTTCCGTATGGTGATTGGTGTAATAAATGTTATAAACAGTATATCATTCCTATTTTTATTTATTTATTTTTTTTTCAACGTTTTTATTTATTTTTGGGACAAAGAGAGACAGAGCATGAACGGGGGAGGGGCAGAGAGAGAGGGAGACACAGAATCGGAAACAGGCTCCAGGCTCTGAGCCATCAGCCCAGAGCCCGACGCGGGGCTCGAACTCACGGACCGCGAGATCGTGACCTGGCTGAAGTCGGACGCTTAACCGACTGCGCCACCCAGGCGCCCCTCATTCCTATTTTTAAAATAAACATTCCTATAACAGGAATAACATGAAAGCAACATTATAAAGACTTCATACGTCTCAGGCACTTTGCTAAGCAGGTACCATGCATTAACTCATTTCATCCTCGTGACCTGATTGTAGGTGAGACTTTTATTTATTTCTGATTAAAGCAACAGAAGCATAAAGAGATTGATTTGTCTCAAGTTGACAGCTAGGAAATGTCAGAGCCACAATTCAGCTTTGGGTCTGTCTTCAGAACTGGAGCACTAATGTAACGTACGTAAGATTGTAGATTTTTTCAGGCAGAGATGATTTCTTACACTCTAGTTTTGGATTTCAGCAATATTAGAAGTTAATAATCTCTCAAAATCTCCTTTTATTTGAAGTTTGATTTTTAGTCGTGTTTCTAGTATGGTAGCTTCTAATTTGTAAGTAACGCAATTCATTACACTTAATCTTGTGTGTTCACAGGTGGTTGCTGTGTATGGAACTTTATCTGATTTGCTTTCTGTGGCCAGCAGTAAACTCGGCATAAAAGCTACCAGTGTGTATAATGGGAAAGGTGGACTGATTGATGATATTGCTTTGATCAGGTAACCTTCACTTTTTATAAGCTCTCTACAGTGTTCCTCAGTGTCTTGGTGCTCTGCTGGTTCCCTTAAGAATACAGAATCTTGGCAAATGATTGCCTAAAATTTGCTCTTTGGAATTTAAATAATTTGGGTTTACAGCATAAGATACAAAGCCCTCTATTCCAATATTCTGACAGTCTTTCTGCAAAGTTCATATATGGCTATAAGGAATTTTGTCTTCATGTTATTAGAGATGGATCTAATAAGGCCTACAATTCAGGGGGGTCAGAATTTATTTTTGTTTTACAAAATTGACGTACATACATTAACTCATGATTTGATCGCCTCTGAACGTGTGTGTTTTTGTAAGATAAACTTAAAATGTTGATTCTTCTCTACTTGTTATAAAACTAGTCCTCACAAAGAAGCAGGCCAATTTGCAAAATGGCCAATTTACACAAAACCAGTTCACCAAAAATCATTTGGAAGATGACCAATTTGCCAAGTTTTTTCCAAGTGTTAATTTCACCACATCTTTTCTGCCTCTTTTCCCCACTGGCTTATCATTTGGGTTTGGCTAATATCTTTTTGGCATGTTTCAGAATTCAGATGCCTAGAACTTCTAGAACTTCAGTCTCTGAAGACATGAATTTTTTAATGTTAGAAATCTGATGTCTTGAATTTTATATGCTACTGCTTGTTATTCAGTTCATTTCCTAGAATATTTTGAATTTTATAAACCTTATCAAGAGCTACTTTGGGGGTACCTTGGTGGCTCAGTTGGTTAAGTGACAGACTCTTGATTTTGGCTCAGGTCATGATCTCACAGTTTCATGGGCTCAAGCCCTGAGTTGGTCTCTGAGCTGACAGCTCAAAGCCTGCTTGGGATTCTCTCTCTCCTTCTGTCTCAAAATAAACACCTACTTTGGAAAAAACCTGCTAGATAAGAGAGAACTTTAAGTAGAGTGAACTCACCAGTGATCTGCCACAATAGTGGTTTTGTGTTTGTTGGGTTTTGTTCTTGTTTTTTAAATATCCTAGGCAGATTTATCTCTTTAGAACAAATGTTAGTTCACCTCATTCCATCCTCACAGGATCATAGAATTTTGAAGGAAGAAGAGGCCTAAGAAGGAAGATAGGAATGGAACACGAAGTACTGACTCAATGCCACTTACGTTCTATTAACTCTTCTCGAGTTACTTCATGTAATTGGCAAAGAAAAAACATGGGGTTTTTTAAAGTGATGGTACGAAGATAATGATGTGCTAAATTACAATAGTATACAAAGTTTAGTTTTCATTTAAACTCAGGTCAGAATGACATTTCAATATAATACACTGCCTTTGAATGTAATCACCTCTAATCTCTTCATTTTATGAATGAGGAAACTAAACATCTGAGAACTTCCACGTCTTACCCAGGTCATACAGTTTAGTAGTTGATTTTTGTTAGAAGAAAACAAATTTTCATACTAGTCTTAAGAGTTAACTGGCGGGGCGCCTGGGTGGCTCAGTCGGTTAAACGGCCGACTTCAGCTCAGGTCACGATCTTGCCGTCCGTGAGTTCGAGCCCCGCGTCGGGCTCTGGGCTGATGGCTCAGAGCCTGGAGCCTGCTTCCGATTCTGTGTCTCCCTCTCTCTCCGCCCCTCCCCCATTCATGCTCTGTCTCTCTCTGTCTCAAAAATAAATAAACGTTAAAAAAAAAGAAAAAAAAAGTTAACTGGCATGGTGATGGAGCAGAAAAAAAGCACAGACTGAATTAGCTTTAAAATCCAATCCAAATCAGTGAGAATGTCTTAGTTTTTCAGCATCTGTCTCCCAGCTTCTTTCGGTTTCAGTGGATAATTGCGTCTCATTGTTGAATGATTTACATCAACCGAAGTTTCTCCTTAACACAGACTCTGCTTCTAGGAAACATTCAATATATTCTTATGATGCCTTATAGGAAATAAAAAATTTCTACAACATTGAGACCGGGACTGAAGCCTTGTAAAATATCTACCTGATTAAGAATTCGTGGCTCACGTGCAATCTCTGATCATTTATTTACACTAGTGCTGAGATATGTTGAGGCAGGGGAGGAGATACATACTGATAATCTAGAATTTTGGACTGTGTGCAATTGTCTTACATTCAGGGGGCTGGTGGGTGAGTTTTTATAGCAGAGTTATACTTGCAATTATATTCTTCCTAAATGTTACGTGAAAATGTCTTTTCATTTTGAAAGCACAGAGCAGCTGATGATTTCGAAGAAAACTCCAATAATTTTTTTAGGGTTACAGAATTAAAGTAAAAAAAAGAAGAGTTGGCCTATGGCTTTAATCGTACCAGATAAGAAAGCTGAATTCACAAAAGTTGCAAAGTGGGTTTTGGTCTTTTTGTGGGTTTTTTTCATTTTATGTTACTTTGAGAGCGCGTGCACACTCGTGCACAAGTGTGGGGGAGGGGCAGAGGGAGAGAGAAAGAGAATGTTAAGTGGCTCCACACTCAGCTTGATCCCACAACCACGGTATCTTGACCTTAGCTGAAATCAAGAGCCGGATGCTCAGCCAACTGAGCTACCCAGGCACCCCAGTTTTTTCCATTTTAAAAGTCCTTCCATGTGTGGGATCTTATGTGAATTTAAATCCAAAGATAGTTCAAACGTTAAGCAAAGCACTGGAAACTTATTCAACTTCTTTGCAATATAGATGAATAGCAAAACCTGCCTTCTACATAATTCTAAGGTATAGTTCCTCTAATCAGTTGATAATTAAGGTGATTTCTGGATTTTGATGGTGGTTTTTAAATTTTGCTTTCCCCAGGGATGATGATGTTTTGTTTGTGTGTGAAGGAGAACCATTTATTGGTAAGTGACTTCCTTAAAAGCCAATTTTGTCTGCCCAAATGAAAAAGACGAAATGGCAAATATTTTATATGTACTTCCCAAGCCTAATATTAAAAAGGATCTTGTGGCAGTATTCAGATCGCCATACCTTTTTTGATTCTAAATTGGGTGTCTGTGTTGAACTAAATTTTTAATTTGAATTATGTTGTCATATTTTAGTGTGGATACCTCATCCTTTCCATGCCTTTAAAATGCTCTGAAAGTGCACAGACTCATCAAATATGACTCATCAAATAAGGTAGTTTCAATTTTAGAAACTACAACTTTTGTTTTGAAATTGTCTCCTTGGCAATGTCGAAATTTCTGGGTTATGTTACAGATTTTTGCGCATGTATTGCTTGTATAAGTTAGTGTTTGATAATCATTCGCCAGTGGTCAAATCAAATGGGTCAGAAATGACTTGGTATCAACCATACACACATGGACACATATTTCGAAGAAAGTCGTGCATCTCGAAAGAGCCTAAGGCTTAGATAGCTTAACTGTTCTTTGAGTGTTTGATATATTCAGTTCCATACAGTCTGGTCCTGAATATTTAATAATTTGTTTAAGCCATCACGGTACTTGTATTTGGTGAATAGAGGTAGTTCTCAGGATCAGCACACCAGCAGCTGCCAACTTAGAAGTAAGTACATGCTTTTCTGTCTCTACCGTAAAACAGTGCGCACAGAGTTTTCCACACGTCTGATCCATTAGCTTAACAGAGTGGTTAGCAGGCAGTGGTCACTTAATTGGTTCATTGCACACATACAAACGAAACAAAAAGTAATCAATTTGTGTTTTTGTTTTATCCTTATGAACTCTTGGGTTTAAAAATATTTGATATGTTCTCATGCTCTGTGTTTATTGCTGCCTGGAGTATTTTACATGTGGCCGATGGAAGTCTCTTCAACCCCTTTTTTAATACAGCTCCGTTGGTCTTTAGAACTTCCTTCCTGTCTGGAATAACAGGGTGTACAGCTTATCCTTCCGTTGCAGACCCAGATCAATATTTTTTCCAAGAAGCCTTGGTTTCTTTTAGTAGGAAATGTCATTTCAAAATACAGTCTGGGTGCCAGACAGACTCACTTTTACTGGGTTTATCATTTTTACTAGGCTTTTTGATGGACAGAGTTAGAAATACATAGCTAGCTAGAGACAAAATGTATATGTAATATAATATGATCTAAAGTTTTATATGCTATATAAAAAGGAGAGAGTTCATGAGTTCATACTCGTACTTTGGTTTGTAATCGGGATTTTAAGGTTTTTATTTAACTTTCTCTGTCTTACACCTGTGTCTCCTTTCTTTCGTTGGTTTTCAGGGACCTAGGGAATGATAGAATTATGTCACATAAGCACTCATTTGCTTCATCCCACACAAAACACACATAAAAGTGTCAGTAACAGTTCCAATACTTTCAGTACCAATATGATTACTAAAGACAGTTAAACGTTTTTTGCATATGCTCATTCCTTTCTTCCCTTACTTAAAAAATTGCATAGCCATTGCATAGCCATTATATACTATACCCTCTCTCTTAAGACTGTCACTTAGCTTTACTCCTAAGTGTATTGGATGCTTACCTCCAGTCCTTATGTTGATGCCTCCAGCGCTCATCTGAAACTTGTTCTCTAGTAGATTGTTTACAGAGAACTTCTGAGACGAACAGTATTCTCTGACATCTCACAAGTTAATAACGATTTGTGGCTTCTATACTTGAAAATCAGTTTGGCTGGTCATGTCAAAAATGTGTCAAAACCGAACAAATTGCAAACTTTAATGGTGTGTATTTTATTGTATATCAGTTATACCTCAAGGTGCCTAAAAAATCCTTGGTTCACATTTTCTTTCTTTAAATATCTTAACTATGTTACTCTTACTCTGACATAAGATGTTGGTGTCCAAAACATCTGATCTTTCGTAATGATTATTTTTCCTAAGCCACTCCAAGGATTATTCTCTTTCTTTAAAAAGTAATTTTAGTAAACTCTTTACTAAACTCTTTCTGGGTGTTCTGGGTTGATTTTGTGTGGTATGTGGTGATCCTGTCAATAGGTACTTTCAAATGTTCTTTTAATTTCAAGACAGTTTTCCTGAACTTTAAATTATGCGTTTATTTTGTCCCTGTGCTTTGATTTTCTTATTTCAGGACTCCTATTGTATGCATGTGGGATCTTCTGTGCTTGTGTTCTGTATTGGGAATCTTCTCTTAAATCCTTTTTATCTCTTTCTTCATTTCTTATTGATTTTTAAAGCTTTCCTCTTTTTCAGCTTCTATTTCCCTTAAGGTTTTGTCTGTTTATTCTCTCTTGGGTTTCTTCTCGTTTGAGCTTCATCTCTGAATTGTTTTTTGTTCGTTTCTTTAGAGAGAGAGCACACACAAGCGGGGAAGGGGCAGAAGGAGAGGGAGAGAGAATCTTAAACAGGCTCCACGCCCAGCGTGGAGCATGACATGGGGCTCGATCTCATGACCGTGAGATCATGACCTGAACCAAAATCAAGACATGGACGCTTAACCACCTGAGCCACCAGGCACCCTGAATTGGTTTTTCATTATAGCTCTAATTCTCCCCTGAGTTCTTTCACCTCAATTTTGAGTTATATTGTTCTTTCATGTTTTGTATTACTTAACTTCTTCAGCATGTTTGGAATATTAGATTATAGTTTTTATCTATTTTGTGGGCATTTCTTTCTGGCACATTTTCATTGTCTAGAGATGTAATTCTTTTAAAATTTTTGTATGGGATTTTCTGTTGCTCATTTAACATAAAAGTTGTTTCCTTAACTTGAGAAAGGTGGGCTGACTCAGGAAAGATTTTCTAATTTCATGGCTCTAGAGTTCCCTTTTCTATTGTTTTTGTGAAGTATTGAAATGTATGGCAGTCACCTTCTGATACATTCTGGTTCTGCTAGACCTTTCTGCCTTTTATCTGGACTCCTTTTTCTTGGGTCACTGTTGTTTTTGTTCTGTTCAACTGGATTCTTTTTCCAACATCTTATCCTTGGTAGTGGGCTTTGTCCTAGAAGGGATTTTTGGTTGGTGGGTTTCGAGAGTTCATCTCCAGCCTGCTCAGTTCTCACTGCAAATGCCTGCATCCATTTCCACATCCAGATACGCCTTCCACTTTGAGTATGGTGTTCTCAGATCGACTTACTGAGCTTTGAAATGAGTATGGATTACTTGGGAATTCTTCGGTTCATCACATACCCTGTTGTTTCTCGCAGCTTCTTCCTTCAAAGATGCCAGTACCACATTGCTCTTCTACCTTTCGGTGTTGGTGGGAATACCTTATCACCTAGTTTTGTCTTAAATGCTGTCTGTGGGTCTCTGGTAGCTCTGGTATGCTTTTATGTGTGTTTTTAGTGTAAAAAAAATGATGCTGTGGCCATCTTCCCCAGTTCCCCAATCTTAACTTTTTAATTGTAATTTCTAGATCCTCAGACAGATTCTAAACTACCTGAAGGGTTGTCGGGATCTCACACAGATTGGCTAACGTTAAACGTCGGAGGGCGTTACTTTACAACTACACGGTAGGTGCATGTGAATGTGTGCACATGTGTGTGTTGGACCGGGGTGGGGGCGCACTACGTAGTGTTTGTTCTTTCCTGCAATTTTGCTGATTTCCTTAGAAGACACTCCATTGCTGCTTAAAGTACTCTGTGATCTTAAACCATTTTTTAGAAAGTTTTTTCAAGAGTAGAAAAATGATTCCCAAGTCATTCCAAAGAAAGCATGAAAGGCATGAACATGCTTTTTAGATAGCAAATATTTTAGGCTTTTAGACCATGCTCTTTAGATGTCAGGTAATACGCATGCAACACAAGTAAAGGTGAACAACACTGAAATCTGTAGCGACTACAGCTGCTTAGATTAAAGGGATAAGAAACATGTTAAGTTTAGGTCAAGAATATTGTGATATGATAGCTTGCTAGAAGGATAGATGAGTGTTTTAAGTTAAAGGAAACCAAAACAATATTTGAGTCAAAGGAAGTGCCAGATTAGAAGGGATTTTGATAAATGGCAACTTACTGCACGTTTTTGTTCCCCAGCATCACTCCTACCAGGTTATAGCATGCATCTTTTTGAAAGAGCAGCTGGGATCGAGTATACTCTTGACTTAAAATATGTTTGTTTATAAAGACAAATGGAGAAATCAATTTTTTTCCCTGAATTCTTAGGAGCACTTTAGTGAATAAAGAACCTGACAGTATGCTGGCCCACATGTTTAAGGACAAAGGTGAGTGCAACACATTGTTTTCACATTTTGTGTGATCTGTTTGTAGCTATATTGACCTAACTCTTGTCCTTCTGTGCTTTTTTAATGGTATCAATAATTTTTACAGGGGTAAAAACTTACTAGTATGTAATATAATTTTTCTTCATAAATTTCTAACTTTGTTTCTTATTTATGGGGGGTTTTCTTCCCTGAAATGGTGACACAGGTGTCTGGGGAAATAAGCAGGATCATAGAGGAGCTTTCTTAATTGACCGGAGTCCCGAATACTTTGAACCCATTTTGAACTACTTGCGTCACGGACAGCTCATTGTAAATGATGGCATTAATTTATTGGGTGAGTTTTTAGTATGATTCCTCACATTTTTGTAAGTTTAGGATATTTAATTTGTTTTCACTTGTTTAGTACTATAGTATATTTTCATAAAGTAGAAGTATATCTTTTCCACTTTTAAAACTAAATTATTTATACGTGTATGAGTGTATATAGATATAGAAACAGGCACAGATAGTCTTTGTGTCTATGGGTGTATGTTTAGACAACCCATAAATTCTGATTTTAGATTCTAAATAGATTTAGATTTTATCACGAGGGACTCTAAAGGATTTTGTTGCTTTTAATTGAACTGGGACTGTGACTTGACTTCAAGTTATGGGCCTTCCCATTATACTGAGATGTAGAGTCGTCAAAAGGGGAAATTCCACTTCAGAATCATTAAGAATGGATTAGAAACTCAGTGCTACGACTTACAACTCAGTTCCCCAAGCATAACTTGGGGAAAGTCTGAGTGTGCTTTGAAAACTGAGTATTAAGAATCTACTTGTCTCTGACTACATCACAGGATATTCACACCATGGAGATGATATAGACCAGAGCTCTTATAAAATAGTAGATGCGTATTCAAAACTGATGGGCCTTGAAGTGGCTAAATCTGGTCTGACTTGGTGGAGAGCGTGGTGATCTTGAGTGCGCATTCTCTCTCAGCTTCTACAGATTGTTGCCATGTGGGTGTGTGGACCTAGGGTGTCAGAGCCTTGATTTTTAAAGAAAAGCTGGAAATCTAAAACTTTATGTGAAATCTGATCTTGAAAATACTACCATCAGAATCAGCCTGGGCTGCTGGCAGCCCAGGGAGGAGCTAGCTTACAGTCTCTGTAGAACAATAGATAACAATAACTTTTATTGTTGCTGTATTAAATTTTATACTGCCTTTAAGGCTTACCCATTGCAAAAAGTGACCTTATGTGACCCTTCATCTGGCTCCATACCTATTCATAACAAATTCTTGTTGCTTTTTTATTTATTTTTCACCTTCTACCAACTGTTGCTTAAAACCATGTATAACCTATTTTTTTTACCTTAGTCATTCTGCAGAAATTATTAGAACAATAAGCAATAGTACCCTCTCATACAATCCTTCGCTTTTCAGCAGCTAGATCACTCTGCTGCTTATACTCTAGTGGCCACTTTTTTCTCCTGGGGACATTTAAATCTCACTGAGGATATCCTATAGGCTCTTTGATGCTTCCCAGTTTAATTTTTCTCTATGCTATCACTGATAGCGTTTCATATCCTCCCCGCCTAGGAAATAACATCAGAAATATACATCCATGCTATCTCAGACTTCAGCGATACAGGCTATTGACAAGCTATGCTTGGCTCCTTTTTCAAGTCTCTTGCTGGAAAGGCTCTTATTTATGCAGTTGTTCAGCAAGCAGAGGTCTATACTGGATTCATTTTATAGAACATTACTTCTGATTAGTATAAAATCCATCCAAACTCAGCTACAAGTTGCCCCCAAGTAGTTATAATGCTTCATAATCATTGACACTGACTTATTTCTCTCCCCTCTGTTGACTTAAATGACCTTGTCTTGCTCTTCCTAATTTGTGCTTTCATCAGTGAATATATTTTTTGCTTACTTTCATTATTTCTTTTGTTTTCTGCCTTTAATGACCTTCAGTTTTTCCAGTGAATCATGTCTTCCTTTTCTGTTTGCATTTGTCTTCAAAACCTTCTTTTTCTGATTTAAATCATCGTTCCCTACCTCATTGCTAAATCTCACTTCAGGTATTCTCTAACTTGAGAACTTTTCTGGCATTTCAATATTTATTTCCCTGAAGTTGACATAAATTTTCTGAACTCCCGTTTGATACGGTAAAAGGAGAATGGTCTTAAATGTCAGAAAACATACAATGTAATAATGATCATGGCGATCATTTATCGAGAACCTACAAGGTGCCGGGCATTATACCAGATAATATATATGCCTATCTCTTTTAATACATCTGTCAGCTTTGTGAGTAAAGTAATAATACCCCCATTTCACAAATGTGAATGGGAACTTTAAGAGAAAGGGTAAGTAGCTTCTCTAAGACCAAAAAGGTAGTAAGTGGCAGAGCTGGGATTCAAATCTGATTCTTCCTGGTGCTGATAGAAAATGTGCTAAATATTCCTTCCTTTTCTCAACTGTCCCCATAGATGCCTCTTGCATTTATAAGGCTTTTCCGGAAGTTTTTAAGGTTTGCTTCTGAACCTAGAAGTAGAAAAAAATCTTTACCGCATCCCTTGGTGGAAGTGGGAGGGGTAGGTTTCTGATTGACTCAGAAGATCTTGGCACACCGAGCGTGAGGCCCACGAGAACCCTTTCTGTGGTGGGTTTCTACCCGGGACAGTTAGGATATGTGGCTGTCCCTTCGTGAGGGATCCAGAGAGGAAGCCCCTCTGGGGTGGACCAGAAAGTGTTGTGCCAGAGCCACAGCCTGAGTAGTGTGCTGTTCGTCAGATGACCTTTGTTTTGCGACTGGAATATCAGAGGTGGAATTGGGCCTTTCCTGAGGAGATGGTAATCTTCCCAGATAACTGCTGTGGTTTTCCATGTCTACATACAGTTAGCCTTATTAGCTTGCAACTATTTCAAGGCAGAGATTATGTCTCTTATTTTCTTTGTAATTTCTGAGTCCTTAGTAATTTTTTTAACAAGTAGACCCAGCTAACTGAATGAGTGAGGTCATTTGAAGGAAAATGGATTCCAAATTTATTCCCAAATACTCTGATGGAGATGTTTAACAGATGTAAGAACATACAGATTCCATAATAAGTCACCTAGAGAATGTGCAGATTTTTTTTTAACCAAGTTAAGGAAAGTGAATGATACAATCTCTTCTGTCATTTAGAAATCTTTTTTTAAGGGGCTCCCGGGTGGCTCAGTCGGATGAGCGTCCGACTTCAGCTCAGGTCATGATCTCACGGCCCTCGTGGGTTCGAGCCCCGCGTCGGACTCTGTGCTGACAGCTCAGACCCTGGAGCCTGCTTCGGATTCTGTCTCCCTCTCTCTCTGCCCCTCCCCCGCTCATGCTGTCTCTGTCTCTGAAAAACAAAACATTAAAAAAAAATCTTTTTTTAAAAATTTATTCTCTTCTATGAGTGGTTTCTGAATCATTTTTTTGACTTTTATGTTGAAACTAATTTAGTTTTATTCATTTCTACATTTTTCTGATTAAGTAAACGATATTTGTGACAAACTTATTCAGATCTGCTCCATTGAAGAAGTCAGTGAAATGTTCGATTAGGTGAACTAATCACTTATTATTAGGTTCACAATCAAATCTGTAGCAATTATTTTAGGAACTTGAGATAGTAGGAGTTTTTGCTTGTAGCCTACTTAAAGTGATTTTCGGGGCACCTGGGTGGCTCAGTCGGTTGAGCGTCCATCTTCGGTTCAGGTCATGATCTCACGGCTCATGAGTTTGAGCCCTGTATCGGGCTCCGTGCTGACAGCTCAGAGCCTGGAGCCTGCTTCAGATTCTGTGTTTCCCTCTCTCTCTCTCTGCCCCTCTCCCACTCGTTCTCCCTCTCAAAAATAAATGCAAACAAGAAAAAATTTTTAAGTGATTTTCAGAAAATTTTGAAATCTGGAAGGCTTTCATTCTAATTCATTAGTTTTCTATGTTTTTCTTTGGCTGAAAGTAAACTATTTAGAAAAACTTTGTTTCACAAATATTTTTAAAATATTCTTTATGCATGTTCTTTTTTTAAGTTTTTTAATTTTTTTTTAATGTTTATTTATTTTTGATACAGAGAGAGACAGAGCATGAACAGGGGAGGGGCAGAGAGAGAGGGAGACACAGAATCTGAAACAGGCTCCAGGCTCTGAGCTGTCAGCACAGAGCCGACACGGGGCTTGAACCCATGAACTGTGAGATCATGACCTGAGCCGAAGTCGGACGCTCAACCGACTGAGCCACCCAGGCGCCCCTCTTATGCACATTCTAAACATTAGTTACTTTTCTGATTGATAACCTACTTGTTGAATTTCACTTGTGAGGATTTAACAAATAATTCCATAAATATTAAAATGAATAGTTTTCTATTAAAAGTCAAATCGATTTTATTGTGATAGGTGTGTTGGAAGAAGCCAGATTTTTTGGTATTGACTCATTGATTGAACACCTGGAAGTGGCAATAAAGGTAAAGCTCTTTTTACATTAGCCAGTATTACATTTATTGTAGCTGTCTCCCAAAATGCTCCACTGATTTCTTAATATCTTTTTCAAGAATTCTCAACCACCAGAGGATCATTCGCCAATATCAAGAAAGGAATTTGTTCGATTTCTTCTAGCCACTCCAACCAAGTCAGAATTGCGTTGCCAGGTAATTAAAGCAGACTTTTACATGAGTTATTGGTGTCAGCAAAGCTGTAAGTAAAGTTTTACATTCTTCTAGGATTTTTTTTTTTTTTTTGCCTTATGTTCCTATTTCATGCAAGATAGAATTTAATTATGGGTTATAACATTGATTTAATCCCAAAATGGTTAGCAAAAAAAGAGGTGTAATAGCATTTTTTATTATCTAACGTGCCTCACGTAGCAGTTTTTGAGTAGGGCATAGAAATTGCAGCTATTAAAATACAGAGTCAATTTTTTGTACAGTTGTTATGTATGGCCAGGCAGTGGCAGATACTTCTTATGTATTATAGCACTAAAGGTTTTAAAAACCACAATACTTACATTTTAAGAATACTACTACCTTGGGGTTGCCTGGGTAGCTCAGGCAGTTAAGTGTCCAGCTTCGGCTCAGGTCATGATTGTGCAGATCATGAGTTCAAGTCCCGCGTTGGGATCTGTGCTGACAGCTTGGAGTCTGGACTCTGCTTCGGATTCTGTGTCTCCCTCTCTCTCTCTGTCCCTCCCCCGCTCACGCTCTGTCTCTCTCAAAAATAATACTAAAAAAAAAATTAAACTACCTTGAATTATTGAATACTTATAAGACCTATATAAATAATACCTACAACATGTACATGGCCAACAAATCACTCCTTAGAAATTTCTGCACATAAATGAGGTATACCCAGGCTGCATTCTAATATTACATTTAGAGTCTCTTTTACTAAGAACCCATTAAGGACACTCATGTTATATCTAAGTTCCATCTGATCATGTATTCTTGTAAACTCCAAATGACTGAACTGCCAATTGCGTCTAAAAAAACTTGATGGTTAGCTATAGTAATTAAATGTGATATAGCAGATGGTTTAAATTTTGTGACAATTTGTGTTTTTTAATTTTAGGGTTTAAACTTCAGTGGTGCTGATCTTTCCCGTTTGGACCTTCGATACATTAACTTCAAAATGGCCAATTTAAGCCGCTGCAATCTTGCACATGCTAATCTCTGCTGTGCAAATCTTGAACGAGCTGATCTCTCCGGATCAGTGCTTGACGTAAGAATCCTCTTTAGTTACAAGAGAAAATTAAATGTTTAGTCTGTTGAACAGTCTTAAAGAGCAGAAATGATCTCTCTCTCTTACTAGAGATTTTGCTTGAAAACGGATGATAAAACCCAAGACCCTGAAAGTGAAATGTGTCGGTTTTGCAACTTTGATATCCTTCAATAAGTGAGGATCTGAAAGAGTTAGCAACTAGTAAGAAATTAAATCTGGAAATTAGATCTTGATCTCCTCAATATAGTATACTTTATCAGGACTTCTATTTTCAGTGAGATTAGTAGGGCAAAGCTGAAAAGGACTTTTGAAATCTTCTATTCAACTGCATTTGTGGAATGGGGAAAAAAAATTGCTCCAGAGGTATTTGGCAGAGATATTTTGAAATAAACATGAGGGGTGCCAGTCTGTGTAAGTTAGCATCTCCGTGGCTCTCCTCTCTTTATCTACATACGTGTGTGGTGTGTGTGTGTGTGTGTGTGTGTGTGTGTGTGTGTGTGTGTGTGTGTGTGTGTGTGTGTTTACATGTATGTATGTATATACACTTGACCTTTGCACCACAGGATTTAGGGGCACTGCTCTGTGCAGTTGAAAATCCGCATATAATTTTACTCCCCCAAAATGTCACTACTAACTGCTGTTGACCAGAAGCCTTACTGATAACATAAACAGTTGATTAGCACATATTTTGTATGTTATATGTATTATATACTGTATTCTTACAATAAAGTAAGAGAAAAGAAAATGGGTAAGAAAATCATCAGGAAGAGAAGATACATTTACAGTCCTGCACTGTATTGATTTTTAAAAATCTACATATGGGGAGCCTGTATGGCTCAGTGAGTTAAGCATCGGACTCTATTTCTGCTTGGGTCATGAGCTCACAGTTGGTGAGATCAAATGCTGCATCAGGCTCTGTGCTGAGAGCACGGAACTGCTTCAGATTCTCTCTCTCTCTCTCTCTCTCTCTCTCTGCCCCTCCCCTACTCACTCGCACACATGCACATGCTTTCTCTCAATAAATAAACTTTAAAAACATAAAAATAAAGTATCCACATATAAGTGGACCCATGCAGTTCAAACCCATGTTGTTCAAGGGTCAAATGTGTATGTATGTGTATAGGTGTATGTGTGTCTGTACATATGTATATGCATGTGTGTATGTGTGTCTGTACATATGTATATGCATGTGTTTCTCTAAAAATTACCTATGTTAATTTGGGGTCAGAAGATACATGCAGAACCAGCAGCGAAATGTACTCGCTTCTAACAACTTCAGGTTCCTTAATACCAAGGCCCATGTCTATATGTCTTTTGAATTAACAACACCTAATATAGTACATTGCTTTAAGTAGTCATTGAATAGATGGTTATTGAATTTTATAATTTTAGTTGTATTCCTTACTTGCAACCTACTTTTCCATGAAGTTTATAATAGCAGATCTATAACAAAATCTGTCAATATACATTTCCATTATTTTCACTCTACTTGTTCCATCTTCTGAGGAAGGACCACATTGCTAGCAAAACGAGTGAAAGAGTGACAGCACAAAGAAAAAAGTTTGAAGGACCTAGTCCTTATTATTATTTTTTTAATGTTTGCTTATTTTGAGAGAGAGAGAGAGAGCGTGTGTATGCACGCACGGGGGAGAGGCAGAGAGAGAATCTTAAGCAGGCTCCATGCCCAGCAGACAAGGGGCTTCATCTCATGATCGTGAAATCATGACCTGAGCCGAAATCAAGAGTAGAAAGCTTAACTGACTGAGTCACCCAGGCGCTCTGCAGGACCTAGTCTTTAAATAGTGAAATGATGAGAGATCACTTGTCTGGCTTTTGTTAAGGATAAAACAAACAAACAAAAATAAAAAGACAGTTTGGGTCATTCAGTAGAGCTGGTTTTGAGTTCTGTTTAATTATAGTAATGCTAACTCTGAACCTGCACCATAATTTTCTTAACTGTAAATACTTGTTCTATCCATCCTGTACAGTTGATAAACTGAAGTGCTATATAATTATAAATTTAATTACTAACGTTAGAAGTGGCTCATGTTGAAGAGTCATTCATTGCCCAGGGTATATAGGCTGTGAAGTCAAAACTAATTGCTAATTGTCCTTGGCATTTGAAGATGAATGCTAATGAATAGCCATCATATCTACAGAACATGATGTGTGCTAAGCAGTCTGCTGATACACCTAATGGCTCCACTTTCTTTTTTTAAGTTTTTTTTTTTAACATTTATTCATTTTTGAAAGAGACAGAGCACAAGCAGGGGTGGGGCGGAGAGAGAGGGGGACACAGAATCTGAAGCAGGCTCCAGGCTCTGAGCTGTCAGCACAGAGACCAACGTGGGGCTCGAACTCACGAACCGTGAGATCATGACCTGAGCCGAAGTCGGACGCTCAGCCGACTGGGCCACCCAGGTGCCCGTCCACTATTTTTTAAAAATGTTTGTTTATTTTTGAGACAGCGAGAGAGACAGAGTGTGAACGGGGGAGGGGCAGAGAAAGCGGGAGACACAGAATCCAAAGCAGATTCCAGGCTCCGAGCTGTCAGCACAGCGCCCAATGCAGGGCTTGAACCCACAAACCGCGAGATCATGACCTGAGCCAAAGTTGGACGCTTAACTGACTGAGCCACCCAGGTACCCCTCCACTACTCTTTCTTAATTTCTCACCCCATTTATCCTTCACGGGCTGTGAGACCTTTCCATAGGAACCATGTGATTCTGCTGTCAACCAAGGTGATCTCAGCTGCTATCTCTGTTGAGCAGAACATGTCTGTGCCACGTTATTCTGTCAGCCTGCTTTAAGAATGTTTCTTCTGCACACTCTTTTTGCCATCAGTGACTTCAGCATGCTGCATAGAAACTGATGTAATAACTCAGCTATTACATATCTGTTGCATATTCAAGACTTAGAATGGTGAGAGCTGACAGGGACCTTGATGGTCATCACGTATGACCCTGTTGTTGGACTGAGAAACTGAAACCTAGAGACTTGCCTGGGCCCAAAGAGGCTAATGTGTTAGCACAGCTGGAGCTAGACAGACTCTACAACATGCGTTTTCTTTTCCTTATTTCTTTTTTTAATGACTTTTTCATGTGCAAAATGTCAAGCATATACAAAAATAGAATACTATAATGAATCCTCCTTGTTACATCTATTAACTCAGATGTAACTTCAGAAGGTATCATTGACATATAAACAATCGTGTCTATACCTCTTTATAGATTATGTTGAAGTAATTCACTATTTCACCTGTAAATATTTTGTTTATCCCTTAAAGACCATTTAAAAAATATAATTTTTTTTTTTTTCTTTTAACGTTTATTTATTTTTTTGGGGACAGAGAGAGACAGAGCATGAACGGGGGAGGGGCAGAGAGAGAGGGAGACACAGAATCGGAAACAGGCTCCAGGCTCTGAACCATCAGCCCAGAGCCTGACGCGGGGCTCGAACTCACGGACCGCGAGATCGTGACCTGGCTGAAGTCGGAGGCTTAACCGACTGCGCCACCCAGGCGCCCCAAAAATATAATCTTAATACCATTATCATACGTTAGAAATCATGGTAATAACTAAACTGCTTTCATCAAAGCCCTATGCCCCTTGATACAGATAAGGTAGCAAAACCCTCCATGTTGGTGACTGTTGGTGACCAGCTTGTACCATTTGATGAGTTGGAGGGTGAATGACATGCTTTCTGTGGTTGAAGATGGAAAACTTCACTGAATTTCTTATAAATTTGTGTTTTTTTGTGAGATTCCATAAGGGTCAGGTTTGAGGACAGAGCCGTACTTATAATTACCTTAGGACTTTTAATCTATGTGTGTCATTAGGTCTGAAATGAGTCTCTTGTAGGCGTCATATAGGTGGTTCTTGCTTTTTTATGATTCAGTCAGTCAATATCTTTTGATGGGAGCATTTAGTACATTTACATTCAAAGTCTTTATCGATACGGATGTACTTCTTGCCGTTTTGTTAACTGGTTTTACAGTTATTTGGGTAGTTCTTGGTTACTTTCTTCTCTTCCTATCTTTCCTTGTGGTTTGATGGCTTCCTTTAGTGATTTTGCTTGGATTCCTTTCTCTTTGTTTTTTGCATATCTATTACAGGTTTTTGATTTGTGGTTACCGTTAGGTTCATATATAACATCTCTGTATCTGTATAAAAGTTGATGATTGCTTAAGTTTTTTTTTTTTTTTATTTTTTGAGAGCATGAGCAGAGGAGGAGCAGAGAGAGAGGGAGACAGATACGAAACAGGCTCCAGGTTCTGAGCTGTCAGCACAGAGCCCAACACGGGCTCCAACCCATGAATGCGAGGTCATGACATGAGCTGAAGTCAGACGCTCAACCGACTGAGGCACCCAGGTGCCCCTTAGTTGCTTAAGGTTAAACCCATTCTAGGTGGACTAAATTTTTACTCCCCTCCCAACACATGTTATGTATATAGTGTCATCCTTTACATCCTTTTATTTTGTGAATCCCTTGACTTATTTTTATAGGTATAATTGACTTTATTGTTTTTGTGCTGTAACCTCCCTCCTGGTTTTATAAGTGATTCATTTACTACTTTTATTATATTTCCATTTACCTGTGAAATGTTCTCCATTCCTAATTTTCTTACTCCTGATTATGTCCTTTTCTTTCCACTCAGAAAATCGCCTTTAACATTTCTTGTAAGACTGGTTTAGCGGCGATGAATTGCTTCATCTTTTGTTTTGGGAAATGCTTTACCTCTCTTTCTGTTATGAATGGTAGCCTTGCTGGGTAGAGTATAATTGATTGCAGGTTTTTTCCTTTCGTGTCCTACACTCTCTTCATTCATGCAGTTTCTGCTGAAAAATCAGCATATTGCCGTATGGGATTTCCCTTGTATGTAACTGTTTTCTTTTCTCTTGCTGCTTTTAATTTCTCTCTTTATCACTGCTTTTTGCCATTTTAATTATTATGTCTCTTGGTGTGGACCTCCTTAAGTTGATTCCATTGAGGTCTCTTTTCCTCCTGGATCTGGATTTGTTTCCTTCCCCAGATTCGGTAAGTTTTCAGCTATTATTTCTGCCCCTTTTCTTTCTCTTCTGTTTCTGAGATCCCTGTAATGCATATGTTACTACACTTGATGTCACTGAGTTTTTTCTTTTTGCTGTTCATCTTGGGTGCTTTCCATTATTCTGTCCTCCAGCTCACTGATCCGTTCTTCTGCTTCCTCTAGCCTACTATCTATTCCCTCTAGTGTAGTTTTAATTTCACTTAAGTTCTTCATCTCTTTGGTTCTGATTGGTTCTTTTTTATATTTCCCATCTGTTAAGGGTCTCACTGAGATCCTCCACCCTTCTCAAATCCAGTAAGTATCTTTATGACCATTACTTTGAATTATCTATCAGGCATATAGCTTATCGCCATTTCATTTAGTTCTTTTGCTTTGATTTTGTCCTCCTCTTTCATTTGGGATATATTCCTGTTTCCTCATTTTGTGTAACTCTCTGTGTCTGTTTCTGCGTATTAGGAAAGTCAGCTATGTCTCCTGCTCTTAAAAGTAATGGCCTTATGAAGAAGAGGTCCTGTAGTGCCCTGTAGTTCCATGTCCCTTGCTTTCCCCAGAACCAGGCAGTTCAGGCATAGGTGTCTCCCGTGTGTGTTGCGTGGGCCCTTCTATCGAGGCTGAGCTGCTTTAGCTTTCAGTCAGCTGCAGTGGCCCCATTTGCCTGTTGTGGGCGGGGTTTGGTCCCTGTGCTGTCAAGGGCCGGTCTGGGGCCACCTTGGGGTTGTAGTTGGGTCAGCCAAGCCACCTGCCCGCAGGCTGTTTGCCGGGGCTACAGTACCTACTTGCAGGGTGCTTTCCCTGGGTTGTCGCCTTGGGAACTTAGATAATAGCTACAGTCTGTTTTATCTGGGTGCACGGCACAGAGAACCAGAGACATTTATTTTTTTATATTATCAGCTTCCTGTCTTATTAATGTTTCTGTGTATTTAAAACACCCTCATCTTTTAGTTATTTTGGTCCTTCTGCATCCTCATTTTCTTACCTCTCAGGCTGAGCTTCTGTATTGCCTGTGTGCCGTAGCACCTGTACTACCTCTGCAGAGGCAGACGTGGGAATGTGTGTGCATTTGTCAGCTTTCTGTGATCTGAAATGATCTGCAGCTTGTCTCCCTTTCAGCAGAATTGACAGTATGGTGAATGGAATTGCACTCATAAAACAGGATTTTTCCTATTAGGTGTGGCAATAAGGTAACGTGATCAGCCTTAGGATTTTTAGATTCTTCACTGTTGTAGTTATAATGACAACTACAATTATCATTTATATAGTGCCCTACGATTTTTAAGACACTTTTACATTCATCATCTACTTTGATGGTCACAGTGTGGGAAGTCCTAATGTTAATGTCAACTTTATGGCTTCCTGCCTTATCTGCTAGTTGTTGGAGTTCAGATCTGATGGCACTGAATCCTCAGAGGTAAATTAACATAATTCAAAATTCTAACATATATTTTCTAGTTTTTTACTCTTTGTATTTTGTGCTATAACTTGGGCGTTCAAGGTTGACAATGTTGTGTAGCAGTGATTGGTACATGAAGAACTGACAAACAACTTGTAGGGTTTTGTAGCTAGATGATACCTTTAACTGCCGGCCTTAGTATTCTGACCTATGAAATGAAGGTAGTAATAGCATGATTGAACATCAAGAATTTTATTGATTCCTGCAGTAAGAAAGAAGAGAAATCCCTACTCCTGATAAGATTATGTGTTCCTTACCCATACATCTTAGCTCTCATAGTGTCCTACCCAGGACTGTTTATAAACATAGAAATAGGGATGTTACAGTTCTAGCCCCCCAACTTTTTAAATACATTTTTTTAATGTTTATTTATTTTTGAAAGAGAGAGACAGAGTGTAAACGGGGGAGGGACAGAGAGAGAGGGAGACAGAATGTGAAGCCATCTCCAGGCTCTGAGCTGACAATACAGAGCCCAACGGTGGAGTTCAAACCCATGGGCCAGACCAGGAGATCATGAGCTGAGCTGAAGTCAGTCACTCAACCAGCTGAGCCACCCAGGTGCCCCTAACCCCCCAATTTTTTTTTATCTAAACTATTATCTGTGTAAAATGGACATGCTGTTGTTAATTAGGTTGTTTCTTTGAAAATGGTTCTTTCAAAAGAACTGTTTCTTCAAAGTGGTTCTCAGCTCTTGGTTGATTCCAGTTAGAAAAGTCTTCATTATAAACAGAAAATAATTGATTGTGAGTGTATGGAATTGAGCTTCCTCCCCTTCTCTATTTTTTTCTTTTGTTGTTTGAGCCCATTTTTTTCTTTTCCAAACAAAATTCTGAAAGTTAAAACGTGGACTTTTCTCTTTTTCTTGCCAGTGTGCAAATCTCCAGGGAGTCAAGATGCTCTGTTCTAATGCAGAAGGGGCATCCCTGAAACTGTGTAATTTTGAAGATCCTTCTGGTCTTAAAGCCAATTTAGAAGGTGAGATTCTATCTATAATTACATTTTCTAAGGTGAGAACATATCACAAAGTAAAAAGCCCAACAAAATAATTGTTACGGAAAAATCATGACCGCTACTGGGGGGTAGATTTCTTCTGCCATCGTATTTGGTCTCAGTCATGTGCTAGGCAAGAAGTTAGGGGAAATCCAGCCTCTACTATTGAATAAGGCTTCAGTTGGAGAATTAAATGTCAACATCTCGAACTTTGAAATTAAACAGTATACGCTCACAGTGACTAAAATGAATTTGTTTGCACAAAGCTAGGCAGTTTCTGTCATTTTTAGATTAATGTTTTATTTATGAATTTCTTATTGCTCTGTTGTGTCAGTGAACTGGTCACTTATTTGTATGTTTAGAGTACAGGGGACTTACCTTCCTTATCATAAACTTACGGAAGCATATTATAAAAGTGCTAATTATCTTAAGACTGAATTGAATTCTTCCCTCAAAAATATAGACTAAAACATTCTTAATTCATAGAACAAGCAAACAGATTGTTAACAATGAACGCTTTATATGTGTAAGTTGGTTGAGAGACTGAGATTTATGGTTCACGGAGTCCTTTCCAAAAGTTAAAGAGCCTGTCATTCACCTCCATTAAGTAAACTAAACCTGCGGTTTTTTGAAGGGAGAGGACTATAAATATTTTGAAGTTCAACTGCTATCAAAATATATTCACTGTAGGTGCTAATCTGAAAGGTGTGGATATGGAAGGAAGTCAAATGACAGGAATTAACCTGAGAGTTGCTACCTTAAAAAACGCAAAGTTGAAGAACTGTAACCTCCGAGGCGCAACTCTGGCAGGAACGGATTTAGAGGTGAGTCACCAATGTTTGAAGAGCGTTTGGTAATCTACAGTTACTGAGCCTGTCCTGCAAAATGTATCGAGGTCGCCAACAAAGTCATTGGCTGGTAAAAACTGCCAGGGAGCACGCCCGCACAGCCGGAGCTGTGTTCTCCTGTCGATTGCTTGTTTCAGCAGACGTGCCTCCCAGAGCAGGATTCAGTCACACGGGCCATGGGTCCCAGTTTCAGATTGAAAGATTCATCTGACAGTCGGTCGAAGACGATTTCATTTGTCCTCTGTTCCTTGGGTCTCCTTCAAGTAGATGAGTTTGATGACTGCTTTCCTAATCGAATTTATTGTGTTTTTCTTCAGTTTTAAGTCCAGACAGAATTAAATGGGGCCAGATTATCTTTTTAACTGTTCGAGAAATGTCAAAGATATCCAGGTTTGAAATCAGGTTAAGAGAGAGCCTATTCTAAATTGGAATCGTGTTCTTTTTGAATCACGATTTGAGCTTTTAACTTTGCGCGTCTTTTTCATCAGAATTATATATGTTGTCTTGATTCGCAAATGTAGCTGGCAGGCTCAAAGGCTGTTGATAGGTCTCTTGGTGCTGTCCCCATAGCACTTTTTGCAATGCTGGACGCGTTCTAAATCTGTTCGGGACAGTAGCCACCAGGCGCTATGGCTGTTGAGCACTTGAAATATGGCCAGTGTAACTGAGAAACGGATTTTTAAATTTTACTTAATTTTAGTTCATTTAAATATAAGTAGCCACATGTGGCTGTTGCCATCATATTGAACAGCACAGCCTTATCCGGGAAAACCTGGCGTAGATCGGATTGGAGAGAAGAGTGGGTCAAAATTTGGCTTGTCATTGATTTTTCCCTTTTAATGTTTCTGCTTTGTTCTCTTGACAGATCTTAGCAGTAGAGTGGCAGGCCCCATTAAACTTAAAGGCAAAAAGAACCTGCCCAAGGCCAAAAATAGAAGCCTATTATAAGCACAGTTCCTTAATTTTTTATTCTTTGGTACTGTCACCAAAAATGATGATTTTTTTTTCCCCTTGGTTTTAGTTACCGTGTAGGTAAACACCAGAAGTCTTCCTGATGGCAACTGAATGCAGACCAGTCAGGTTGACTGTTTGAAGGGCAGCTGGTGACATTCTGTCCTAAAAGTTTATGTGCAGTCACCCACCATCCCCAAGGACTTACCCACGATCTGTCTCATCTGCCACTCTGTGATCTCAAGAGAAATTTCAAAGCAGCTTCCAATTGTGGTGGTAGTTACACTGTTCTATATACATTTGTTAAAACTCATTGAATTGTGCACATAATTTGGGGTTTAAAAAAAAAAAGCAGTTCCCTGCTATAAAAATGTTCGAGTTGGGGAATGGAAAAATCTATTATAATGTAATTAGTAAGTAAGATCTCTTTCTCTCAGTTGTTTTCTTTTTAAATTTTTTAAACATCTATTTATTTTTGAGAGACAGAGAGAGAGCAGGAGCAGGGGAGGGGCAGAGAGAGCGAGAGACACAGAATCTGAAGCAGGTTCCAGGCACTGAGCTGTCAGCACGGAGCCCAACACGGGGTTCAAACCCACGAACCGTGAGATCATGACCCAAGCTGAAGTCGGACGCTTAACTGACTGAGCCACCCAGGTGCCCCTCAGGTTTTTGGGTTTTTTTTTTTTTAATAGTGCTTACCTGCCCTGCCTTTTGTTGTCCTCAGATTGTGGTAAATTTGCATAGATAATATTTATTACGTTGGAGTCCATTCTGGGTTTTAAATGACCGATTCTAAAATAGGGGAACAGAAGACACACTCCCTCTTTAACCTCTGTTTGTCAGTATTTGTGACTGTCAGCCTGACCACTCACCTAGAGAAAACAACTCCAGATATAGAAGAAAATCTGACTTTTTTCTAACACGGCAGTCTTCCAGAAATAACAGGGTTTCATGACGTTGGAACATTTTCCTCACGTGCCCCAGGAATCTTAGTTTCATGAATATTGTTTTTGTCTTGCAGAATTGCGACCTGTCTGGGTGCGATCTTCAAGAAGCCAACCTGAGAGGTTCCAACGTGAAGGGAGCTATATTTGAAGAGATGCTGACCCCACTACATATGTCACAGAGTGTCAGATGAGAATTTCAGGGCCGGAGGAAGATGCCCAAGATGAAAAATGTTGTCCTTCTCACTTTTTTTTTTCTCCACCCATTCAGTTGTCTAGAAGAAGTAACACTGTAAGGGAATAAAAAACAAACAAAAACCCATTTAGAGGATTATGCTTGTTCTCAACGGTGCATAAAGGAAAAAAGTGACTTTTTTCCACATTCTGATTTTAACCGAGAAGCACTCATTTAATAGATGTAGAGAAGCTAGAGTAGCTTGCTGCCTTTTGAGCGGAGTTAGGGGGATTTGGCTGGTTTTATGACCAGAAATAGGATCGATTATATTTGCTTTTAAATAGGCATGATGTGGAAATACCATCTTGGTTTGAAATGTATTCGAGGATTTTAATTTATGAAAAGCACAACATATGCAATTATATTTATTGAATCTCTAGATACAGTATGGATATTTAAATTGTTAAACTTTACGAAAATTTCGAAAAGGTTCAGGTTTATTAATAGCTTTAGTGATGCCTCCCCTACTCTACATACCTGTCATGCCATATGAATATGGTGAGATCAGATTCCCCAAGGCTCTCTTTTCAGGTTCTTGTAACGTTTATTTTTTAGAACGAAACAGTAGCTAAATTAAATCCTCGGTTCTTACTGATTGAGACTGAGTGAACGAAAAGACCTCAATGTCAGCTCAAGTTGAGGTGGAACTCTCCAGATGGACAAAGAATTTACCTATCGCTACAACTTTTAAATGAGCATCCTTAGAATTTCATTCTAAGCAAGTTCCACTCAACGCCAAACCAGTCGATTTTATCAATTTACACTACTAGCCTTGTTTTCTCCTGTACAGTCACAAGAAGCATAGGAAGTATATGTCAGAACCAAAAAACCAAGGTGCGTCATCAGTAGTAATTTAATTCAAATGCCAAATAGTTTCAACAGGGCCAGCTTAGAAATAGGCATTAAATCCCAGTCCACTGTCATCTTTTGGAAATCAACGTAATGCCGTTAAAACCCTACAAGGGGAAGGGAAGGGATTTTAAATTGGCAATTTGATGATAGCCACCAAAAAACTTCAACAAAAATAAAGGCGTTGGACTGGTCCGAGATGTAATACCAATCAGTCAGCACCTGTGGTTCTTCTACTTTCTGATTTAGTTCAAATTCTAGCCTGCTTTTTTTGAGTCCTTCTCTCTGCAATAGCAGAGACAGGACCTGTACTTCCTTACCAATAACCCGTTGTCCTTATGTCTACCCCAAGAGCAGGGATATAAGCTGTGTCCAAATAGGTTCTGAATTCTACAGACTCATCAGTTTGAAGCAATGAATCAGTAAAAACGACTTCGTCTCCTTTGGGAGAATGACGCGTGTTCAATATTTACGTAGCTTATTCTTCTATATATACATATGCAAAGCTTTCCTTAACGGTAAAGGGTGCATATGCGTAGTGAGAGCTCGCACCTTTACAGGTGAGGGAAAGCAATTTCAGAAATGAATTATTTTCTTTGCTTTATTATTTTTACCAAGACAGAGAAGTATTGTATTGAGAGATATCTATTTTCATAATCAATATGTGCCTAAATTATATTTAAATCATTTCACTCTGTACTATATTTTCAATAATTATAGAATGTGTTTGTTCATCCACTTAAGGGTACCTCTGTAGACATAAACCTAAAAATGCAAAAGAATCTGAAAGGTCTAAACATGGTATGCTTAGAAACTGCAGATTTTGGATCTAATGTATACTGCATTAATAAACGATGTGAAATGTTGAAAAGGAGTTTCTAGTCGTACTTTTGAAAATCGACTCTTGACCATACTTCACTTACGTTTCTTCAGCATTAAGTTGATGACCAGTCCCGAGGGTCTGGGTGGAGAAGGAAATCCAACACAACGCTTACAATGGATTAGTCTGAAAGGGCCATTCATGCAAATTTACCCCTTTAAGCATGGTTTTTTTATGACCCTCTTTTTAAAATCTGCCATGCTAACAACACAGGTTCAATTACAAGACTTCCAGTGGTTCATTTGTGTTACTCTTTAGCTGATGAACGTTACAAGTTAGACTTATTAGGTTGGTTGAGTACATTGTCCCCAAAACATTCTCACCTGACTCGTGGGAGAGAGAATTTTGACGCAGGAGTTTCAAAAGAGTACAACTTCTATTAAACCTAGTGATGGAACTTGTCTGTACACAGGTAAAAATACAATTGGGGGTGGGGGACTAGAAAATCTAAATCAGATTATGCATATTGATAAAATTCAGTACTCCTGTAATTATTTAGAGCCATACGTATTATGCTGTCCTATCTAATTCAACTACGGTTTCAAAGAAATTTTAGTAGGAAATAGTGTAAATTCACTTTCTTATGACAGTGATTTACTATCATAAATCAAGGCATGGAATATTTTCTCCAGTTGCTCATTTTATGAACGGGTGGTTTATACTATAAATCTACCCCCATGTCAACTTCAAATCATGTTTAATGAAAAGCCCTAGAATTTTATTAAATTTCCAAGGAGGTATTATCTTTAAAATTAAAAAGGTCCACCTCTACAAAGAAAAGTGGTTATTTTCTGCATAAAGCACCTTATGCAAGGATTAATTCTCTGAAAGCCTTTCACAACCTTTAAATATGTCAGCAGGAGTTCACCACGGACCCTTCCTGCTGAGATTTTACATTAGGGCAAAAAGAGGCTTGTGTCTGTCACTCATCAAGATTGCTAAGTCATTACTGTGGCATTTTAATAATTTTTAGGTGTTTCTTTTAAGGTTGAAAATGAAACCATTTTCCCTCTAAAGCCATATACTTTTTTTTTTTTCTTTTTAACGTTTATTTATTTTTGAGACAGAGACAGAGAATGAACAGGGGAGGGTCAGAGAGAGAGGGAGACACAATTTGAAACAGGCTCCAGGCTCTGAGCTGTCAGCACAGAGCCCGACGCAGGACTCGAACTCACGGACCACAAGATCATGACCTGAGCTGAAGTCGGACACTCAACGGACTGAGCTACCCAGGCACCCCTAAAGCCATATCCTTTAAGATCTAGAAGTTTCTAAATTGAGAAAAAATTTCTGACAACTATGAAATCCAATACTTAAACCCAGTTTACTAAATTAAGCTTCATGATAAATGGATCTATCCTTGGAACTATGAAAAGATTCAAGGGGCGCCTGGGTGGCTCAGTTGGTTAAGCCTCTGACTAGCTCAGGTCATGATCTCGCGGTTTGTGAGTTCAAGCCCCACGTCGGGCTCTGTGCTGACAGCTCAGAGCCTGGAGCCTGCTTCAGATTCTGTGTCTCCCTCTCTCTCTGCCTCTCCCC